GCCTGCTGCAGGCCCCGGGTGCTGGTCCTGCAGGCGCTGTTCTGGAGCCTGGTGTCCCTCAGGGTGTTTGGAGCCGCCCTGCTGAGCGAGGAGAAAACTACAGGTGAGGACAGATCAGAATACATAAATAGTATGATTATAATATTGATCATTAACCCTTACCCCCCCCCCCCCCCCCCCCCCCCAGTGAAGCAGCAGAGCGCCCCCTGCTGGCTGCTGGAGGACTTCGTGGTGGCGGCCGAGTGCTCGCCGTGCACTGCCTTCCAGACCGTGAGGCTCCACTCATCTGAAGCACATTCACATGTTACGTTCAGCTAGTGTCCAAAGTGATGCCTGAGAGACCCTGAACGCCTCTCAGGCCTGTTTACAGAGACCCTGAACGCCTCTCAGGCCTGTTTACAGAGACCCTGAACGCCTCTCAGGCCTTTTTACAGAGACCCTGAACGCCTCTCAGGCCTGTTTACAGAGACCCTGAACGCCTCTCAGGCCTGTTTACAGAGACCCTGAACGCCTCTCAGGCCTGTTTACAGAGACCCTGAACGCCTCTCAGGCCTTTGTTTACAGCTGCTGCTTGTTGTTGTTGTTGTTGTTGTTGTTACCATGCCGACACATGTTGTTGTTGTCTCAGACGTCCTGGGCGTCCTGCGGGCCGACGGGCTTCGTGGAGCGAGTCAACTGCACCAGATCCAACAAGGACGAGTACAAGAGGTCAGGAGTACTGCGTTTATTACTGTATTTATATACTTCATATACTGCGTTTATATACTTCATATACTGCGTTTATTACTGTGTTTATATACTTCATATACTGCGTTTATATACTTCATATACTGCGTTTATTACTGTGTTTATATACTTCATATACTGCGTTTATTACTGTGTTTATATACTTCATATACTGCGTTTATTACTGTGTTTATATACTTCATATACTGCGTTTATTACTGTGTTTATATACTTCATATACTGCATTTATATACTGCGTTTATATACTTCATATACTGCGTTTATATACTGCGTTTATTACTGTGTTTATATTAGGGGTGTAACGGTACACGTACCCGTACCGAAATTATTCGGTACGGGCCCTTCGGTTCGGTACAGGTGTGTACCGAAGTGTACCGAACGAATATAACGTTAAACGTAAAAAATTGAGAACGTGAATAACTTTTTGGAAGTAATCTCAGGTGCTGCGTCGCAGCATTCAGAGTAATTTTCTCACATTGGGTTCAACGCGTCATAGAGCGAGCAAGTCATTTAATTGGATGAGAGGCATACTATGAGAGCTGGTCAGAGGGATGCGTTCAAATGTAGTCAGTAATTTGAGGAACTGTCAAAAATGTATGGCGAACGCAGATAAAGTTGAGCTCGAAAATCCTCCAGCATCATTGAAGTCTCCGGTTTGGGAACATTTTGGTTTCGCAGTTACGTACAAGGATGACGGACAAAGACAGGTGGACCGAACCAAAGCTGTTTGTCGGCATTGTTCAACTAAAATTGGTTACGCGGCTGGCAATACATCAAACTTGCACACTCTTGAAAAGGCATCACCCGAACGTGAATATCACCGGTACCAAAAGAAAAAAGACTGAAGTGCAAACCCAACTCCCACTAGCATTTAAGCCTCCACCACTCGCAGAGAGTTCAGACCGAGCCAAAGCTATTACAAACACCAAATATCCTTATGTTGCCATGTTAGCAAAGCGCTACCTGGCTGTATCTGCTACCTCTGTCCCTAGAGAGGGTTTTCTCCACAGCAGGAGACATTGTTAGTGCCAGCAGATCTGCCCTTTCAGCAAGCAATGTGGACAAGTTCATTTTTCTTTAAAAAAACATGAAAATACAATGACAAGCAAGTCCTAATGTCAAGCTGGCTGCTAGGTACTAGTACAGTACAGTTCAAATACAGATTATTTCAGTTCATCGAAATGCTGCACCTTAATGTTCATTTTATTATATTTTGTATTTATTTGAGTGAATATTTACAGTTTAATAATAATTAAAAACCCCAAACTAATAGTTTATGTTTTGTGAGTACTAGTACAGTAAAGTTCAAATACAGATTATTTCAGTTCATCGAAATGCTGCACCTTAATGTTTATTTTATTATATTTTGTATTTATTTGAGTGAATACATTATTCACAGTTTAATAATAATAATAAAAAAATATATATATATGTTTTGTTTTGTGAAAAAAAATTCTGCTGTACCGAAAACGTACCGAACCGAACCGTGACCAAAAAACCGAGGTACGTACCGAACCGAAATGTTTGTGAACCGTTACACCCCTAGTTTATATACTTCATATACTGCGTTTATATACTTCATATACTGCGTTTATATACTTCATATACTGCGTTTATATACTGCGTTTATATACTTTATATACTGCGTTTATATACTGCGTTTATATACTGCGTTTATATACTTTATATACTGCGTTTAGATACTGCGTTTATATACTTTATATACTGCGTTTATATACTTTATATACTGCGTTTATATACTGCGTTTATATACTTTATATACTGCGTTTATATACTGCGTTTATATACTTTATATACTGTGTTTATATACTTTATATACTGCGTTTATATACTGTGTTTATATACTGCGTTTATATACTTTATATACTGCGTTTATATACTGCGTTTATATACTTTATATACTGCGTTTATATACTTTATATACTGCGTTTATATACTGCGTTTATATACTGCGTTCATATACTTCATATACTTCATATACTGCGTTTATATACTTCATATACTGCGTTTATTACTGCGTTTATATACTTCATATACTGCGTTTATATACTGCGTTTATATACTTCATATACTGCGTTTATATACTGCGTTTATATACTTCATATACTGCGTTTATTACTGCGTTTATATACTTCATATACTGCGTTTATTACTGCGTTTATATACTTCATATACTGCGTTTATATACTGCGTTTATATACTTCATATACTGCGTTTATATACTTCATATACTGCGTTTATATACTTCATATACTGCGTTTATATACTTCATATACTGCGTTTATTACTGCGTTTATATACTTCATATACTGCGTTTATATACTTCATATACTGCGTTTATATACTTCATATACTGCGTTTATATACTGCGTTCATATACTTCATATACTGCGTTTATATACTTCATATACTGCGTTTATATACTTCATATACTGCGTTTATTACTGCGTTTATATACTTCATATACTGCGTTTATATACTGCGTTCATATACTTCATATACTGCGTTTATATACTTCATATACTGCGTTTATATACTTCATATACTGCGTTTATATACTTCATATACTGCGTTTATTACTGTGTTTATATACTTCATATACTGCGTTTATATACTTCATATACTGCGTTTATTACTGTGTTTATATACTTCATATACTGCATTTATATACTTTATATACTGCGTTTATATACTTCATATACTGCGTTTATATACTGCGTTATTACTGTGTTTATATACTTCATATACTGCGTTTATATACTTCATATACTGCGTTTATATACTGCGTTTATATACTTTATATACTGCGTTTATATACTTTATATACTGCGTTTATATACTTTATATACTGCGTTTATATACTGCGTTTATATACTGCGTTTATATACTTTATATACTGCGTTTATATACTGCGTTTATATACTTTATATACTGCGTTTATATAATGCGTTTATATACTTTATATACTGCGTTTATATACTGCGTTTATATACTTTATATACTGCGTTTATATAATGCGTTTATATACTTTATATACTGCGTTTATATACTTTATATACTGCGTTTATATACTGCGTTTATATACTTTATATACTGTGTTTATATACTGCGTTTATATACTGCGTTTATATACTTTATATACTGCGTTTATATACTTTATATACTTTATATACTGCGTTTATATACTGCGTTTATATACTGCGTTTATATACTTTATATACTGCGTTTATATACTGCGTTTATATACTTCATATACTGCGTTTATATACTGCGTTTATATACTTCATATACTGCGTTTATATACTGTGTTTATATACTGCGTTCATATACTTCATATACTGCGTTTATATACTTCATATACTGCGTTTATATACTTTATATACTGCGTTTATATACTTCATATACTGCGTTTATATACTGCGTTTATATACTTCATATACTGCGTTTATTACTGCGTTTATATACTTCATATACTGCGTTTATTACTGCGTTTATATACTTCATATACTGCGTTTATATACTTCATATACTGCGTTTATATACTTCATATACTGCGTTTATATACTTTATATACTGTGTTTATATACTTTATATACTGCGTTTATATACTGTGTTTATATACTGCGTTTATATACTTTATATACTGCGTTTATATACTGCGTTTATATACTTTATATACTGCGTTTATATACTTTATATACTGCGTTTATATACTGCGTTTATATACTGCGTTCATATACTTCATATACTTCATATACTGCGTTTATATACTTCATATACTGCGTTTATTACTGCGTTTATATACTTCATATACTGCGTTTATATACTGCGTTTATATACTTCATATACTGCGTTTATATACTGCGTTTATATACTTCATATACTGCGTTTATATACTGCGTTTATATACTTCATATACTGCGTTTATTACTGCGTTTATATACTTCATATACTGCGTTTATATACTGCGTTTATATACTTCATATACTGCGTTTATATACTTCATATACTGCGTTTATATACTGCGTTCATATACTGCGTTTATATACTTCATATACTGCGTTTATATACTTCATATACTGCGTTTATTACTGCGTTTATATACTTCATATACTGCGTTTATATACTTCATATACTGCGTTTATATACTTCATATACTGCGTTTATATACTGCGTTCATATACTTCATATACTGCGTTTATATACTTCATATACTGCGTTTATATACTTCATATACTGCGTTTATTACTGCGTTTATATACTTCATATACTGCGTTTATATACTGCGTTCATATACTTCATATACTGCGTTTATATACTTCATATACTGCGTTTATATACTTCATATACTGCGTTTATATACTTCATATACTGCGTTTATTACTGTGTTTATATACTTCATATACTGCGTTTATATACTTCATATACTGCGTTTATTACTGTGTTTATATACTTCATATACTGCATTTATATACTTTATATACTGCGTTTATATACTTCATATACTGCGTTTATATACTGCGTTTATTACTGTGTTTATATACTTCATATACTGCGTTTATATACTTCATATACTGCGTTTATATACTTTATATACTGCGTTTATATACTTTATATACTGCGTTTATATACTGCGTTTATATACTTTATATACTGCGTTTATATACTGCATATACTGCGTTTATATACTTTATATACTGCGTTTATATACTGCGTTTATATACTTTATATACTGCGTTTATATACTGCGTTTATATACTTTATATACTGCGTTTATATAATGCGTTTATATACTTTATATACTGCGTTTATATACTGCGTTTATATACTTTATATACTGCGTTTATATAATGCGTTTATATACTTTATATACTGCGTTTATATACTTTATATACTGCGTTTATATACTGCGTTTATATACTTTATATACTGTGTTTATATACTGCGTTTATATACTGCGTTTATATACTTTATATACTGCGTTTATATACTTTATATACTTTATATACTGCGTTTATATACTGCGTTTATATACTGCGTTTATATACTTTATATACTGCGTTTATATACTGCGTTTATATACTTCATATACTGCGTTTATATACTGCGTTTATATACTTCATATACTGCGTTTATATACTGTGTTTATATACTGCGTTCATATACTTCATATACTGCGTTTATATACTTCATATACTGCGTTTATATACTTTATATACTGCGTTTATATACTTCATATACTGCGTTTATATACTGCGTTTATATACTTCATATACTGCGTTTATTACTGCGTTTATATACTTCATATACTGCGTTTATTACTGCGTTTATATACTTCATATACTGCGTTTATTTACTGCGTTCATATACTTCATATACTGCGTTTATATACTTCATATACTGCGTTTATATACTTCATATACTGCGTTTATATACTGCGTTTATATACTTCATATACTGCGTTTATATACTTCATATACTGCGTTTATATACTGCGTTTATATACTTCATATACTGCGTTTATATACTGCGTTTATATACTTCATATACTTAGGGCGGTGGTGGCGAGGTCGATAGGGAGTTGGCTTGGCAACTGGAAGGTCACCAGTTCAAGTCCCGGCAAGACCAAGTGCTACCGAGGTATCCCTGAGCAAGGCACCGTTCCCCACACTGCTCCTAACACAGGATGGGTCGAATGCAGAGAAACAATTTCCCCACGGGATTAATAAAGTACATCAAAATCATGGGACCTTAGAGAGAGGCGTAGTCCCCCCCCTTTCAGGTGGAACCCATGGGACCTTAGAGAGAGGCGAAGTCCCCCCCTTTCAGGTGGAACCCATGGGACCTTAGAGGGAGGCGTAGTCCCCCCCCTTTCAGGTGGAACCCATGGGACCTTAGAGAGAGGCGAAGTCCCCCCCTTTCAGGTGGAACCCATGGGACCTTAGAGAGAGGCGAAGTCCCCCCCTTTCAGGTGGAACCCATGGGACCTTAGAGAGAGGCGAAGTCCCCCCCTTTCAGGTGGAACCCATGGGACCTTAGAGAGAGGCGCCTCTCTATTAAGGGGTTTCCTCATAAGCCGTTGCCATGGTGACAGATCACTCGCCATCAACAACCCGATGTTCATGTTACTGCTGTAACTTCAATGTACCTAATGATGTGTATTAATGTGTATTCATATATATATGTATATTGATCCCCCCCAGCTGCCGCTCGTCCCTCCTGGAGGAGCGTCTCTTCTGGAGGTTCGAGGCCTCCATGCTGGTCCTCACCCTCTCCTCCTCGGTGGTGGTGGTCCTGAGGCAGAGGCTGCTGGACCGCCTCGCCTCAGAGAAGGTGAGGAGGCAGATAGAGAGCATCTAGAGAGGAGACACCTGTAGGAGAGAGGAGACAGGAGACACGAGAAGGAGAGAGGAGACACGAGAAGGAGAGAGGAGACAGATAGAGGACTGCAGAAGCTGTGAAAACTTTATTGAAAAAGAATCTGGAGACCGAACGAGCGATGAGGCGTTCAATGACCGTCAGAAACTCTGTGTTTCTCTGTTTCTTGTGAGCACTAAATGTTAACGTGTGTTCAGACTTTAGTTCTTAGACATTAAAGTGAGTTATTATGAACATTATGGAGGTTTGACTGTTGAATAGTCTCTTTGATATCAACAGATGGACCAATCAGAGCCTGTGAATATGATGTCATCTCTAAATATAACGATCTAAATTAAAAACTGGGTCAAAAAAATTGTATTGTATTTTCTCTTCACCTGATTGGTCGACTTCATCACCCTGATCAGCTGACCCTCCTCTGATTGGTCGGCTGGCTCCAGGTCTTCAGACTGAAACTTTTTTTCTTTATTTTGTTGCTACGATGTGATTGGCTGACAGGGGAATGTCCCACTGTCTTTGAACGCAGCACCAGGTGTTTTCTGTTTCTGGTAAATAATCAGTTTGATGTTTCTGAGACCTTTAACAAAGATTAATTTAGAGGAATACAATGTGACTTTAACGTTTTTATTTACATCGTGCTTTACTGTCTGTTGGGGCCACCTGTAGTCAAGACGAGTTAAAGGACTACAACTCCCAACGTTCGTCTCAATACCCCTCCTCCGGGACTTGACCCGGAAATCGATCAAGACACGCCATTTTGAAGCACGTCCCAATCGCTGAAATGCACACGGAGGAGTCGAGGAGGGAGGAGGGGTGAGGGAGGAAGGGTGAGAGAGGAGGGGTGAGGGAGGAGGGGTGAGAGAGGAGGGGTGCATCTCACTTCGGTTATTTTTTATTTCCTCGGTCTCACCGGAAGTTGATTTGTCTGTGCCATCTTGAGCAGCGTCCCAATGGCCTTATTTTTGGTGAAATCCTCAGACACTCGCCCCGCCCCCTTACTGTGTATCGCTCACTGATTGGACGATGCAGCGCATGCACTGATCTGGCTGCTGTCAGACGATCAGCTGTGCGGCGTCATCACAAACGGGCGTCGCTTCACGTGACGCTCCGGAGGAAAGGACGTCCCATTGCTCTGAAAACTCATTTCCCTGCTTCTCGTGGTTTCCTCTCTCCTTGCTTCCCTGGTGGGAGGGACGCAGGGAAACCGAAGTGAGATGCAGCTGAGGAGGGGTGAGGGAGGATACACGAGAGCAGACTACGCGGAAGTGTTTTCACGTATAAAAGCCCCGCCCCCACCTTCACAGCTGGTCCATTTCAACAGAGGAAAACTGCTCACAGCTCCGTGGGAATTATTATGTGCAATTCATTTCTTAAGGTTATACTAACAATTGAAGTCGTGTTTAATGATCCTGAACGTCACTAAAACATAGCTATTAAGAAAGCTATTTCATAAATGGCTAGATCTTCATAAATAACAATTATTTGTATAGTTTTGTGTTTAGATATTCAGGGTTTAAATGATTTAAAATGTCCTGAATGGGTTTGTGGTGAATGTGGGGATCGACAGGACACACATGTTCAGAGTGAAGGCTTTCACATTACCATCATTATATTGTATTGAAATGTACATTTTACACCAAAACGGAGCACCAAAGCAGGACCAACCATCACACATTGAGTTCCTTGACTAACAAGAGAAAGATTCATTCATTTAAATAAATGTTTAACAACAAATGGGCCGGTTCTAAGGGTTCTTCAGTTCAGCCCCGATGAGAGGGGATACAGCTGTGCACATGCCATCATTAACAGACGTCGTTTGAGTGAACGAGGACGTCCCAATTAATACCTGAGGACTCCTCTGTCCTCGCGTCACCTCCTCGTGTCTCTCGCTCGCATCTTACGGAGGCGGAGCTAAGACGCAAGGAAGGGACGTGAGTGAGGGAAAGGAGGAGGTGAGAGACGAGCCTCAAGAGCAGTGGTTCTCAAACTTTTTTCAATAATGTACCCCCTTTGAAAAAAATATTTCGCCAAGTCCCCCCGATCAGCGCAAAAACAATTTGTTAGGGGGAAAAAAAGCCTATATAAAGAGGTACAGCACAGCGCTGCACCATCAGTGTCTGATTTATTAAAACAACAACCTTGTAACTGAGAAACACTTAAATGCTACATTTCAAATGTTTACAATCCATCACTAAATTCATGGCAAACCAATTTTAACATCAAGCAATAACACTGAGACGACATTAGTTGCATTGAACTGATCTGTTTAATAAGTTGTACAATGTAGAGAAACATGGGCTCGAGCTTCACTGAGGATCTTTGTCATTCTGACAGGGAGGCAAACTGCAACTATTACACTTCACGTTTTGAAATATGTTTAACTCTGTTCATAAAAAACTCACACTGCTCAAACTTTCTTACTTTTCCTAAAATTGGTATATTTATTTATTTATTTATGTTGGGGCGTGGGGAAGAGAAACAAATATGAGCATTTTATGAGCATGGGATTTTGACCCCTCATATGCATAATGCTATACTTTGTGACTACACGCCGTTGCCAAGCAACGCTTATTGTTTAGGTCCTTTGATAAGCAGGCAGTCATATCATTAGCTAGATCTGATAGATTTGGACAAAAACGCGAGTGACGCGAGCGAGAGATCAGATCAGCTGCTGCTGACGGAGAACATGCAGCTCTGCATGATCACAGCTCCGCCGCTGTGATGGACCGGTGAGCGGAGCAAAATACACTAAGAGTTAGACCTAACACACTTAGCTAGTTGATCTGCTCTGGAACTAGCTAAACTAGTTATAAATATATGTATTCTTTACCACAGGGGGCGCTGTCTCTCTGCCTCTCTGCTCCACGGGGGGCGCTGTCTCTCTGCTCCACAGGGGGCGCCGTCTCTCTGCTCCACCGGGGGCGCCGTCTCTCTGCTCCACCGGGGGCGCCGTCTCTCTGCTCCACCGGGGGCGCCATCTCTCTGCTCCACCGGGGGCGCTGTCTCTCTGCCTCTCTGCTCCACAGGGGGTGCTGTCTCTCTGCTCCACAGGGGGCGCTGTCTCTCTGCTCCACCGGGGGCGCCATCTCTCTGCTCCACCGGGGGCGCTGTCTCTCTGCCTCTCTGCTCCACAGGGGGTGCTGTCTCTCTGCTCCACAGGGGGCGCTGTCTCTCTGCTCCACAGGGGGCGCTGTCTCTCTGCCTCTCTGCTCCACAGGGGGCGCTGTCTCTCTGCCTCTCTGCTCCACAGGGGGTGCTGTCTCTCTGCTCCACAGGGGGCGCTATCTCTCTGCTCCACAGGGGGCGCTGTCTCTCTGCTCCACAGGGGGCGCTGTCTCTCTGCTCCACAGTGCTCCACAGGGGGCGCTGTCTCTCTGCTCCACAGGGGGCGCTGTCTCTCTGCGCTCCACGGGTTAAACTCAAGTAATGTGTGAGAGATTTTCAACAAAGATTTTTATTGAAGGCAAGCTTTCCATCAAGAGATTATGAAATAACAGAAACTTTGGAAAATGAAATAAAACTCAAAGTGTTGAATCTGAAACGTCTGATCAGATTCAAGAGCAGCTGTTTCACATTTACAGAAGACATCTGTTCCCTCTCTGATTGAGTGACCCCCCCCCCCCCCAGCTTTAATTCAAAACATGATTACAATTAATTATGAAACTCTTATAAAAGGTGGGATAATTATCTTCTGTTTAACACTGACAAGTGAGTACCCTGGCTCCTGATTGGCTGTCGGTCATCCCGCGTTAATATTAAAAAAATGTCTCTGTCGTCTCATTGGCTGAGCCCCTGCCCTCAGTTGATTGGCTCGTAGTTTGAGGCCGACGCCCTCTTCCTGACGCAGATGCAGACTCCGCCCAGAACCAGGAGCATCATGGGAGTTCCTAAACCCACCGCCATCATGATGAGGACCATCGGGGAGAAAGAGTCCATGGGGGGCGTCCCAACACCCAGTAACACCGTCCTGAAAGGAGAGAGGACACACGTCAAGGAGAGATGAGACACGTGAAGGAGAGAGGAGACACGTTAGGGAGGGAGGAGAAGGAGTCCATGGGGAGCGTCCCAACACCCAATAACACCATCCTGAAACCAACGAAGAAGAGAGTGAAAGGTCAAGGAGAGAGGAAACACGTGAGGGAGTGAGGAGAGACGTGAAGGAGAGAGGAGAAGGAGTCCATGGGGGGCGTCCCAACACCCAGTAACACCGTCCTGAAACCAACGAAGAAGAGAGGAGAAACGTCAAGGAGAGAGGAAACACATGAGGGAGTGAGGAAAAGGAGAGAGGAGACACATCAAGGAGAGAGGAAACACGTGAAGGAGAGAGGAGGAGAGAATAAAGGAGAGAGGAACCCTACCAGCTGAGGAACCGAGATCTGTCGTAGAACGGTTCTCCGGAGATGCCAAAGCTGACGTTCATCCCGAAGGTTTCTGGTTCTGCGTAGAACGCTGTGATCAGAGCGGAGAACGCCTCCTCGCCTCTCTGAGGGCGGGGGAGGGAGGACCGCGTCGGAGAACCCTCCTCCACCGAGGGGGAGGACCGGCGGTACGAGACCGGCTTCCACTGGAGGAACCCAGAACCATGGGAGGTTCTGTTGAGGGGGGGCAGCCACTGGAGAACCTGAGGAAATACACACAGTTAGTGTTAATCACTGTGAATGTGAATTACTATTACACTGCCTTAGTAGAATACTCCATCCTGATTGGTCAATGTGTAGCTTACTGGTCACATGATCAGGTGACTCTGTCCCTGTGTCTGCTGTCAGAGAGCTCCAACAGACTGGAACACTCTACCTGCTGCTATAGATCATCACTGGGTGTGTTTCAGCATCCTCTCACTTTCAGCTGCTCTTGTTATTGATCAAACTGATCAGACTGTAATGATTGTAATAATTGTATGTATTACTTCATGAATTTAACTTAACAGACTGTACGTGGTTTGTCATGCTTTGCTTTCTGTTATTGTGTTCATGTCTGCAACACGTTGCTGTTGTCGACCCCCTTGAAAACCAGACGGTGCATCTCAAGGTTTATCCTAATCAATACATTTATATATCTGACATTTCAGAGGTTGTTAATACTCGATAAAACACTGAAGATTGATGATGACTAATCACCTTGAATACTGATGACTAATCACCTTGAATACTGATCACTAATCACCTTGAATACTGATCACTAATCACCTTGAATACTGATCACTAATCACCTTGAATACTGATGACTAATCACCTTGAATACTGATGACTAATCACCTTGAATACTGATGACTAATCACCTTGAATACTGATGACTAATCACCTTGAATACTGATGACTAATCACCTTGAATACTGATGACTAATCAGCTTGAATA